AACTAAACCATTAATTAACCTGGAAAACTCCCAACTAACTAACTTCTAATCATTTCACTCGCACACACACGCTCATCCAAAATCCATCCATGATTAACAACATATTTAGAAGATTGAATCGACATCAATGGAATTCGCGTGTCAACAACAACAAATAATATATAATATTATTACATTTTTTTTTGTGTTTGGTGGTCATATGATGAATTTGTTGTTTGTATTACCCCACACAAATTATTGCCAAATATGTAATATAAAGATAGATGAAAGTTTTTTGTTCGACAAACAAAGAACAAAGTAGTTATATTATGTTTTCTTTACATGAAAGACATATTGCTATTTTAAGATCCGAATTGATTGGTGTTGGAAAAATTTTTTTTATGTGATTCGGATTTGAGTTTCTCAAAGTTTGTTCCATTTGTATTGTATATTCTAGGTTCGAACATAATAATAAATAAATAAATTAATACAAGTACGTATGTGTATTATATAATAAATTAAATATTTTTCCGATAAGTTATCTTTGCAGCAGGCTCAACAAAAAAATTTCTGTTTTATTTTTCGACGATAATAATAACAATAATTACTTTTGTTATTCTCATTGATTTTCCGAATTTGTACAATAAAAAAAAGACGGATCAAAAAAAAAGGTTTTTTTTTGTACGTGAATGAATGTGTATATACGTAAGTTGAATGTTGACGAGATTTTGAGTTTGCATATACTGCATATACTACCTAACACTGTAAGAAAGTATTATTTAGCCACATGTAAAAAAATTACTTCTCTGCAATCCTTTTCTTTCTCTGATCTAAAATGAATGACGAAATTAAAAAAAAATTGTAAAATTTGAAACTATAATTGAATAATAATGAATGTATTATATATTATCATCGCTAAAATATAATAATTACATAATATTTATTAAAAAAAATAATCAAAACAATACATAATGTTTCGCTTTTGTTTTAACAACAACCAACAAAATTTGGTGAAATTAGCGAGTGAATGATGTGTATGGATTTATATTGGTCTATACAATATTATCAAGCAATTAATAGGTGATAAATAAATCGAAAGATAGTGAAAAAACGATAATGAAATAAATTTGCTTAAAAGTGAAAGTGTTTTTTTTTTGATTTTTGTTATATAGTTTTTGATTAATGTTTTAAATTGTGTGTATTGTGGGAAAAAAAATTTTACCCTGGAGAAAATAATATAAAAGAAGAAAAATAAATAAATAAACAATTCAATTCCTCTTCCATCCCACTTCGTTCATCCATTCATCAAAAACGATCGGGTCGTCAACGATCCGCACACATCACAATATCCAGAAATTTATGATATTTTTGATGGCACAACGAAATCGCTATTTGGAAAGAAGAATTCATCGCCCTCTACATCAAAATCATCACCATCAATTGAGCTGCAAGTTGAACTGGTTATGCTTCCGGAATCATCGGCGTCATGATTTACATCGTCAATTATAGTAGCAAATCTAACAAATTTTGTGGTCGCTGAACTTCTTCGAATGCGATGATGATGAGGTTTAGTATTATAGTTGATATGATCGTACTCATGTGAAGTGGTGCTGATAGTTTTATTGTTGTTGTTAGAAGCAGTGTTGTTGTTGTTGTCGAAAGTTGAGGTGGAAACAAAGGAATTGTTATCATCGTTGGAAAAATCGGATGAATAAGATGAGGAGAGTGAGCTGTTGGAAGATAAAGATGAAGTTCTTAAGTTACGACGATAATAATTATAATATGGTATATTATTAGAAGTATTAGTAGCAGTTTCGTTTATTTTTTGTAAACCGTTGTTATTGTTGTTGTTGTTATTGATGATATAGGTGTCGAATGACGGAGGTTTGCGTAGTTTTTTTTGTGATTTTTTTTTATTTTGTTGCTGTAATTTTAATAGTTGAGTTTGTTGTTGTTGTTGTTGTTGTAAATGATTATTACAGGCTAGAATCGTTGTTGTTGCTGTAGGAGAACTACTACCAGGTGTAGTTGTTGATATAGGCGAACTATTAAATGCTGTTATATGAAAAAATTTTGATGGAGTTGTGGTTGTGGTTGTGGTTGTGATTGTACTCATTTTTATAAAGTTGTTATAAATTGTTATTATTAAAAAAGTTGTAGAAAAATGATTTTTATTTTTATAGAGGTTATAATATTATTGTTATTAAGTTATTTATTTTTATTAAATAAATTATTATTTTTTTCGAAAATGAAAAAAAAAGATAAAGATTTTATTTTTTTTTTTTAAAGTTGTTGGAGAAATTGAGAAAAAAAAGTAGAGATCGGAAGAGCACACGTCT